TGAGATAAAGCTGTATCAAGGATTATTTTCAACTCTGCCAAGTATTTTTTAGTGGGGTCACCCTTTAGAACTTCATACGTATTGCTATCCCCAATTAGTCTTTGTACCATTGAGACATAATCAGGTTTGTTTAGAATGACTGTATTGCCCCCTTTATCGAAGGGTTTAAAGATAACCTCATCCAGTTCTTTAAGTTTTTTAAGAGAGATATTTTCTTGAGGAGAGATGTTGCTATTAGGTTGGATTGGAAGGTCTTTTAAGTTGATTTTTTCAATTTCATTGCATGTCATCTCCACAAATAGGTCTATATATTTAAAATCCACTAGGTGTGGAGTGAACATGCTTTTCTTTTTTAGATGTGTAAAGGGGGGATATCTTACTTCGGATTCGTCATTCGCAATAAGGAGGTCAACCAGCGTATCAAGGGCACCCATATCTGAGACTTGTAAACCAAGATCTTTTGCCCTTTTTTCCTCTTTCATATAGTGAAATTTATGCAAAGCCAGTTTTCTAGCAAACAGGTGTATGTCCTTTGTCCAGCTAAACTTATCGAAGTATGAGACTGGGACAAAGGACATACCCCGCTGTAAAACCTGCAACTCTGCTTGAGTCGGAGTGTATGAGGACAAATTGATGATCTGGTTATTTACAGTTGTCTTATCTAATATCTTTTTCTTCCCCTGAAGTGTTGGGGTGGTCTGCCTCTGTACCTTGTCCGTGGGGCTGTACTTTCTTCCATATTGGGTTGGCCTAAAAAAGAGACCCCTCTTTTTAATATACTTTTTGAATTGCGTTCTGATGAGGCAGACGTACTCGCTTTAGAGGAATCTGAGTCTGAACCACTCATCTCATATTCTGACGTTGATATTGGTTCAGAGAAACTCCTTCTTGTATTCCTATTCTTTCTATAAACATTACCACTTTTAAAGTCATTATTGTCTCTGATGAATTTGGAATGTTTCCGAATCTTAATATTTTGTTGGAATCTATCCAAATTGCTCTTAAGTTTTGTCTCT